GAGCTGGTTATTTTTTGCAGACTTTCTTATTTCCTGTGGCTGAGGAATCCTTGGTGTAAGTGACTGAAATTATTGGGAAGTCCCTTGACTGAAATAGACTCTCCTAGACTTTGCTTCCTTCAAGTACCAGCCTGTGTGATTCTGTTTTCCATCTGGAGCCTGTGAACAGAGTGCATGTGTGTGAGCTAATTGGGTTCTCACTAATAGGCCCTTTCAGCACCATGTATGGGGAAAGCTGTTCAGATTCCTGCTCCTACTCTCTGAGCATGAAATAGAGTCTGTTCTGCTGAAGCTGTTGTTCGACTTTGCAACTTTGTATGTCTGTGCAGCAACAGCAGGAAAGGCCGACTGTGGAGGCCAGAAGCTGCCCTGTGCACCCATGCTGCCTCTGACCTGTTCAGGACTCAGCATTGCTTGCTGTTTGTGTCTTACGTGCACCCATCTGTTTATGTATATGTCTGTGGAGGACACAGATTTTCCAGAGAAAGAGATGACCTGCTTGTCTTTCTGTTTGAGTTTGTTTCAGCCAGTCAATTACAAATTGTAGACATTGTTTGACAATCTCAGGGATGGGGTGAAGAGCGAGATTTGTGTAATTTGAACAAAATAACACTTTGGAGGATAGGGTGTAGACTGATATTTAGTGTCACAAATGGTCTTTGGCTTCCTTAAGAAGCACCCTCATTGAAGTAGTGGCCCCCCCCCCCCCGCTCTTTTAATGGTAGAGTTTTGCTATGTAGTTCAGGCTGGCCTTGAATTCACTGTGTAGCCCAGGGTGGCCTTAAATTCAGGATGATCCTCCCTCCTGCCTCCGCCTCCAAAGTGCTGGGGTCACAGGCTTGTACCACCATTCCTGGCTGCCTCCCTCATTTGTAAAATAGGTCACAAAGATCCACTTTTAGGGATGGAACTGACTTTCCTGGCAGACAAATTTCCTGACAGAATATAAATACAAGCCAGGTGTGGTGGTGCACACTTATAATCCAGCACTCAGGAGGTTGAGGCAGTAGGATCGCTGTGAGTTCGAGACCCACCTGGGCTACGTAGTGAGTTCCAGATCAGTCTCAACTACATAGTGAGACCCTGTCTCAAAAACAAACAAACAAACAAACAAAAAAACCAAAATATAAATACAAAAAGATGGGAAACCTTAAGAAATGATGTAGGGTACATCTTTTTGAAAGAGGATGCAGTAGAGGCTGCTGTCCCAGCTGTTTGCTGGAAGGGAGCTGCAGGATGCACTGTCTTTGGCTCTGCAGCAAGCCTGTGGTAACATGTGCACCGTCTCTGGGTGCTGTCTCAAGGCTGGCCTTACAGAGGCCTCATTGCCTTTTGGTGTCATGTCTATTTAAGGAATAGTAGGGGACATGACATGTTGACAGATTTCAGGCTATTTTCACAAGGTACTGGGTTTGTTACTATGTTCTGAAAGGATACTTTCTTGGTTTGTTGTTAGATTTTCTAATAAATGAATTTTGCATTCTTGATCAGTTTTAGTCTAAAGTCAAGTTCTTTGTTTTACAGCTTTTCCTTCTACACCTCCCCCTGCCTCCTGTGAGTCATAAGCGTGCAGAGTTGGGAATAGAACTTGTCAGCTGAGTGGGGATGAGACAGTTCTCTGCACATGTTTGCACCTGTGGCGGATAAAAAGAGAGGACTTTAAATGCTGGAAAAACACTGTCACCGAGGCATCTTCTTCAGGGTCTTATGTTTGGTTGCAGAGTTCTGTGTGGTTCCTGGCCAACAGCTTGTGGCCCTGAGTCACTTAGAAGCCTCTCTGCAGTTTGTCCATTCCTTTTTTTTTTCCCTTCCAGTACCAAGGATTGATTGAACTCAGCACCTTCCGCTTGTGAGGCTAGCACAGTGCCACTGAGCTAAATCCCCATCCCTGCAGTTTGTCTGTTCTTGGCATTGGATATGTGTGTGTGTGTAGGGCCTGGGTACTGGTACTGAGTCTCTCATGGGTCCTAAACACTTGATAACTTTCTAAAACGGTTGAGAGGATTTATACAGTACAGGCTTCACTTCTTGTCAGTCTTAGTGCCACACTAATTTTTTCCATTTTTAGTATTAATCATTGTACACCCATATAGGGGCTACCACTGAAGATCAAAATAAATGGAAATGCTGGTGTGGTGGTGCATGCTGGTGATTCCAGAAGTTGAAAGGTTGAGGCAGAGAATCACTGCAAGTTTTAGGTTGGCCTGGAATATGCAATGAATTCAAGGCCAGCCTGAACTACATAGTGAGACCCTGTCTCAAACAACAACAAAATAAAATAAATTGTAGCTTTTTTGTTGTTGACCTTTTTTAGAATTTATAATTTCCCTGGCCTCATTTTATTAGTTTGTTATCTCCATTGTGTGTATTTTGAAAACTCCTGCAATTCTTTTTTGGTGTCCTGAAGTGAATCAGTAAAAGTTTATAAGTAAGTAAATACTTTCTTTACCAAGTGGTTCTGTATTCCCTAAGGAAGAGCACTTGATATTTGTGCTGGACCCTGATAGGCCCAGCTGGAGGGTTATCTGTCAGCTTGCCCCTGCCTTCTTGGCTACTCCTTTACCCTCCTCTGATAGAAAATATTCCGCATCACCTCAGGTGCCCTGTTTTGAAGTGATAAAAACTTGCTGGATATGGATATGGCACATTGTTGTGGTCCCAGCACTGTGGGAGGCTAAAGCAGGAAGATGGCAAGTTCAAGGCCAGCCTGGGGAATTTAGCAACTTACAAAGACCCTCTCAATATAAAAAAGGGCTAGGGATGTAGCTTAGCGCAAAAGCTCTGGGTGCAATCCTCAGTACTGTGCAAGAAAATAGGAAAAGAGAATATTTTTGAGGAACTCACCCTCTCCTCCTTGGGCCCCAAGCTTAGTGCCTGGAATGACAAGAATAGTGAGTATTTGTCAAGCACTTTCTGCATGATAGGCAGTGTTCAAAATGCTCTAGAAACATGCAAATCCCTTAACCTGAAAAACATTCTATAAGGTAGACTGGGTTTCTGTAGCTGGTTTTTGGTTTTTGATGTGTATATTTGTAGTACATAATGATTACATTCAATGTGGAAGAGTTGGTACATGTATATAACACATCTTAATTCTTTTTACTTTCCCTCTCCGGCCTACCCTTGTAGCTGTTTTTTAAATGAGGAAAAAGTATAAAGAAGTTTTTGTTTGTTTGTTTGTTTGTTTTTCGGTACTGGGGATTGAACTCGGACCCTTAGGTTTGTGAGGCAGGCAGTGGAACCACTGAGCCAAATCCCCGGCACATGAAGAAGTTTTAAGGATTTGCCCAGTTATCTGGCTAGTGAGTGGCAAAACTGGGACTAGAAAGCAGAGGTAAGACTCAAGTGAGATCTGTCATAGACATGGCAGTAAATATTTGTTAATTTTATAAGCATACTATTTGGGATTATTGAATAACCAGTCATTCCAAGTTTCATTTCAGGATTTCCGTATGAAAAAGACTATGATTTTGTAGATCTTCATTAGCTATGCTAATTCTCGTGTGGTTTTTTTTGAAACAGTGTCTTGCTGTGTAGCCCAGGCTGGCCTTGAACTCCTCACAGTGATCCTCTGCTCAGCTTCCTGAGTCCTAGGATTACATGGGATGTGCCACCACGCCTGGTTGACAAATTATTTTATAGATGGTTTTTTTGTTTGTTTGTTTTGTTTGGTATGGGGGATCAAACTTGGGTCCTTGTGCTTGCGAGGCAGGCAGCGGAACCACTGAGCCAAATCCCCAGCCATTATAGATGGTTTTTACAAGAACAAGCCAAGCCGGACATAGTGGTGCACACCTGTAATCCCAGCACTTGGGAGGCTGAGGCAGGAGGATAGCTGTGAGTTCGAGACCAGCCTGGGCTACATAGTGAGTTCCAGGTCAGTCTCAGCTACATAATGAAACCCTGTCTCAAAAAACCAAAACAAAACAAAACAAAAAGAACAAGCCAAATAGGTTTGTGAGTCTCCCAAAAGTTGCTAGTGCATCTGTGCTGGTGGTACCAGCCAGTTTACTGAAGACCCCAAAAGCAGAATTAATTTTAGCCACTCCCAAGTTGAATCCCACATCTGGGTGAGCATGGGAAGGGAGAGCTCGCGATTTGCTTGAACTGTGAGCCCCAGTCTACGCGAGGATAGCAGCTAACAGTAGAACGATGGTGCTGGGCAAGGTGGCACACAGCTGTGACCCGGCCACTCCCACCCAGGGCTGAGCTGGGATTTTGAGTGGGAGCTTGGCCTGGGCCACATGGCAAGACTCCATTTAGAGGAGTCGTGGTGGGGAATGACTGGTGGGCTAGGTACTCAGTAGAGAGCACTGGAAACAGAATGTGAGACAGCATACAGCCATGGGAAAGTGGTGCCGGATTTTTGGTTCCTAATTCCCTGTCTAAATCGTATTTTTGTGCCACGTAATCACAGTGTCCATGATGTGATAGAACCTTCCTGCTACCCTCTACTGAAATTATTTAGCCTATAAGTAGTGATCTCATCATGACTTTTTTTTTTGTTTAAAAAAAGTGCTGACAAGTCTTAATTTTGTAAAGTAGTTTTTTAAATTTTCTATTTATTTGTTTGTTTGTTTGTTTTTGATACTGGGGATTGAACTTGGGCCCTTGCACTTGCGAGGCAGGTGGCAGAACCACGGAGCCAAATCCCAGCCCAGTAGTTTGTTTTTTAAGGAGTAATTTTAAAGCAATATGGGGTGATTATTTAAGTGGGTAATCTTTGAAACAGGGTCTCTCACTATGTAGTGTAGGCTGGCCTTAAACTCACTGACTGAAGTCCAGGTCTGCCTCAAATTCCTGGCGATCCTCCTGCCTTAGCCTCCAGAGTGCTGGGATTGCAAGCAGTGCTCCACCATGTCTGGCTTAAGTGGGTATTTAAATAGGAGAAGTTCTTTTAGGGACACAATTGGAGAGTGACAAAAGCATGATAATTAAGGTCACGTTTTGAAAACATGATATTTTGAATTTTTCCTTAGGCTGTGTATCCTTGTGGGTGAATCTGGCTATGCTGAGCATACTTCCTAATTGGCTGAATTAGAGAGGTAATATTTTTTTGCTTTGTTTTTGGGTTTTTTGTTGTTGTTGTTGTTTGTACTGGGGATCGAACTTGGGTCCTTGTGTTTGCGAAGCAGCTGCTGGAACCACTAAGTTGATTCCCCGGCCCACAGCTTTTTTGGGGGATGCTGGGGATTGAACTTGGGACCTTACACTCACGAGGCAGGCCGCGGAACTGCTGAGCCCAGAGAGGTAATTTTTGTATTTTGTGACATATAACCTGTCTCAGTGTCTCCACTTGGAGTCATTTTTAGCTATGTTAGAATTAAAATATTAAGAACATAAAGAGATTGCATGATATTTCCTGCTTTCAACAGAACAAGACAAACCTCCTGAGACATGGCCGGCCATATGGAAGCATCCTGCTTCAGTGCCCATGTGTGTGGGGTGAGGCTGGGGCAGATGGTACAGGCAGGGTTCTTGGCTGCTTGGACAGGAGTTAGGAGCGGATGGAAGTTACATGCTCGGCGTTGGGGAAGGGCTGCTGTGTGTTGTCAGCTTGGGGGGCTGAGCATGCTGAGAGAGCAGGGATCGGTGGAGTAGGGAAGAGAAGGGTAGAGGCAGCAATGCTGACTTGCATGAGAAAGTCTGTGTGCAGTTGGCGGTGAGGCCTCCCAGTGAGACGGAAATGGGGGACAGGGGACGGGGACGGACCAGATACAGCCCAGAAACAAGATTCCAGATGCTTCTTCTGTTCCCCAGAGCTGTCAAGGAAGATATTGCATGACTAGGATTTTTCTGTTTAAGCTGGAAGCTGTTTTGATTCCTTTTTGAGATACTAGGCCAGAAGCTGTATTTATAGAACTTGCTTTGACATATAATCTCACCCTGTCCCTTGCCTTCCTTACTGGAATCCAGCTAATGTTGCATCCTATCTTGGCAAAAACAGGTTGATTGAAGAAAATTTAAATGTAGATTTACAGCTGAGCTATTGCAAGTGGCCCCAAACAGTCCAGCCTAAGGTCTACAGTCCAAGGTGCATGAATGTCAGTGGAGTTGCTGGTATAATTGATTATAAACGGTTTGAGGTAATTACACACCTCATACATGCTGTACTGATTGTTCACCTGGATGTGGCTGTTTCCACAAAAAAAACTTTCAGGCAAAGCAGGAAAAATTACAAAGCCCCAAATGCTTGTTTGGAATAGAGCATGAGGTGAGGTTTTTCTTTATTCATTGGTTCATAGTTTCAAGAATTTTCTTTAAAAATGTTTCTGAAGAATAGGTGACATGTCCATGTGTAAACAATTCAGCCAGTACTCTACCTCTGCAACTGCTATGAGCAATCATTTCTTTATCCTTCCAGAAATACTCTGTTCATATACATGTATGTGTAATTCCTGTCTTACTACATAAGTATACCCAATCAGTTAGCTGCCATGTTCTCTTTAATAGCTACAGAACGTCCTGTTGTATGCTTATACTGTAATTTATTTAGCCTCCAAATGATAGGCATATGTTTCTAGGTTTTGCTGTTGTAAGCAATGTTCTTAGGAATGGCCCCTGTGCATATTTGTGTATGTGCATTATATAATATGTATGCATATATATATTATTTTTTAAATTATTATTATTATTTTTGGTACTGGGATTGAACTCGGGTCCTTTGCACTTGGGAGGCAGGCGCCGGAACCACTGAGCTAAATCCCTAGTCTGTCCTTTTTTTTTTTTTTTTTTT